GAACAGAATGGGAGGGGCAGAGGCAGACAGGAGCAAGAACTGGGTCAAGAGCAGACAGACAGAGACAGAATCATAACATTTACATGATAGTATTTCCCCTTTAAAGAAAACGTGATCTTTACTTTTATTAGGTGTATAGTAACGAAGTACATTAACTTTGTACACAGTACTTAAGTAGTTTTTTCAAGGATCTGTAATTTTACAAAGTTTTTTTAATCATAACTTTTACTTTTATTTTGTTACATTCAAAATATAAAAATGATACTTTTGCTTCTTTACTTTTAAATTTAACACCATCTGACATTCAACAAGTTTAAATATAACTACAACTACTCATAAAAGGAGTTGTTCATGCACTTAAAAAAGTGTTGAATTTACTTAATGTTAACTGGTTCCAAGTCTTATTTAGTAAATGCAATGTGCATATATTTTTTAAAAGGAAATGTGATTGATCAATTTACAACTCGGTTTAGTGGAACCCATTAAATTAAGTAAATTCAACACAACATTTTTTAGACTGTGCAAAAGTGCTTTTACTTTTACTTTCCTGATTACTGTGAGCAGTTTTGTGACTTTTAGTGAAATTCAGTTTTGCTAAAGTCATTTTCTGTTAAGGTATTTTTAAGTTTATTTAGTTTTTTTTTCAAATGCTTTATACACCTCTGTCAGAATGTACGAGATTAGTCAGTAAGGAACATCATGTCTTTGCTGCTGCAGCCTTGAGGCTGTGGAATAACTGTAAAGCTTACTTTAATTAAATAAAGCATGTATTACAAAAGACTAAAATATATTAATAGATATACATAAATAAATGTTTCTGTATTTTGTACATTTACTAACATTTCTGTATTTTGTAGCTCAGTTCAGTAACTGATCCGACGTTACTCAGTTTCACCACTAGATGTCAGCAAAGTTTAATATATAACTGAAACAGGCTTTAATCATATTTGAAGAAACAGTTTCTGTTTACAGAACTGTGTTTCTAAAGTGGTGAAAAATGTCAAGTTTGTTTTTTGTTTTCTTCCTATCACTCCTGTCTCTGTACCAGGTGGAAAACTCAGGGGATCCTTGGGAAAACTTCCAAAATTCCCAGTCATTGTCTTATTGGGAATGTGTCTACCTGCTGATGGTGACTATGTCTACAGTGGGCTACGGGGATGTCTATGCAAAAACCACCTTGGGCCGCCTGTTTATGGTCTTCTTCATCCTTGGTGGTTTGGTAAAAACAATTTTTTTTCTTTCCCCCTTGTTGCTCTTTCCCAACACCTACATCCTGTCTGTACCCATTAATAGTGCATAAAGTTTAGGAAATTATAGGATAATTATGCTATTATAAATAAAATTAATGATTGATATGTATAATGTATGATATAGTTTTTTTTAACCCTCCTGCTGTCGTTGGCTCAAAATGACTCCTCAGTTTTAAAACTGATGGTACGCAGTGTTAAAAGACGAGCAGGAGGGTTAAACTGTTGAAACTATATTACCTTTGTCACAGCAGAGTTGCATTGACCTGTTTAGCCTCACCATGTCTTGTCTAATGCAGTTTCAGGTCTTCGTGCCCCCTTGTCCCCCCTGCCCCCATGGGTCAATCCTCTGTTGGATTACAGTATATGCTTTTGTCTGATAAAGCTGTTGCTGTTCTCTTAAAAAAAGCAGTTGCGGTTTCAGGACACCCTTCCTTCCGTGTCTCCTCCCACAATTCCAACAAACACAGGGGGCGGGGCGATGAGGCTTAGGCTAGCCTGGCTGTTACCACAGCAACAGCAGTCTCCCACTCCCTCTCTGTCACCTTTCCCTGATCTGGCATCCTGCTGTCGGGCTGCCACAAGCTCTTTAACTCACACATGAGCACGCGGGACTGCACACACACACCTTCTCCTACAAAGTGAACAGATTTTAATCATAGTTAATGTACTTTATGGTTGGATTCTTGTTTATATTGGGATTACTTACAGCTGTGTGATCATGTATCGCTTTGTGGTCATGATGTAAACTGTATCATTTCTCAAAGTCTTTTTGTAAGCACCTTAGCCTGCTTTGTATCTGCAACACTGGTTGAGTAACAACTCCAGAGTGAAGGTTTTTTTAGAGCCAAAGATCCAGTCAGACCCATAGAGTATCCTCTTTTTCACCAACACTTTTCTGTTTAAAGGATCCCCGATTATTTGTAGCATTAGACTTTATATGATAAACATATACTTTAACTGTAAAATAAAGACCGTAAAAATACTGTAGGATGTTCAATTTTTATCATTTTTAAACTAAAAGTTTAAAAATATATTACACGGATGGGGCCATTTTATTTACACGCAGGTTCTTCTTCCATGAAGCAGCTCTGTTGTCCTCCATCCATATTTTCAGTTACAGGCTGAGTCATTTCTACCTTCTCCTCTCTGTCAACGCTCTCTGGTTTCATTTAAAAGAGTCGATCGTCAGATATTGTCCAAGATTAACCTTCAGGGTGGATATAGTTCGCTAGCAGCCTCATGCCGATGACCTAGTTGATGTCATCAGTTACCCAGAATGCTTTGCGTGTAAATAAAATGGCTCCATCTGTGTTAAAATATATTTTAAAAAATTTACAAAACTAAACAGCCTACAGGATTTTTACAGTCTTTATTTTACAGTTAAAACAAAAGTTTATCAAATAAAGTTTAATGTTACAACTAACCGTGTATCCCTTTAACATCCCAGATGTAGATACGGTTAGTGTAACCACCGATGGTGTGTAAACTTCAGTCCTGTCCTGTCCTCACATATTACGCTGCAAACTCTTTGCAAAATGCATCCAGCTCATTTCTTCCACTGATAAATGAGTCAATGTGTTTTGCAGCTGTGGAGCATCAGGTGGGACTATTCGCATCAACCTGCCCGACCATCTGTGTTTGTTGGACAAAACATGGCACACAGGTTTTTGATTTCCTGTTAGCTTTGAAAATTCTTCCATCCTAAATTTTTTTTTTTGGGCGGGGGGAGCTGTCACAGACTCAGTCACCCGTAAATATTGGGGCTTCTTTTGAAAATGGAAAACACAAGGCGAGTTTTGCTATGTGACGCCCTCTCTCGTGTTTGTGAAGTTGAAGCAAATAAAGTGAGAGAGGCTTTCACTCAAATGCAAATTTCTTTTTTTTTTCTTTTTTTGAAATTTGGGCTCATGCACCGGCGTCCCCCCCGCAGTCCATTCTGCGGCATATTAGTCTCTTTTTTAGTCTCCTCTTCTGTCTTCTATCTTCTCCTTAGGCCATGTTTGCCAGCTACGTCCCTGAAATCATAGAGTTAATAGGAAACCGCAAGAAATATGGTGGTACCTATAGTGCGGTTAATGGCAGAAAGTAAGTATTCCAGATGGTTCTGCTGTTTTTCTGTGTGCGGTAGAGCCCTCGCTGCATGCCTTCTTTTCTTTTTTTTGTTTTTTGTTCCATGCATGTAGGCCATGTTTGCTCGCTACGTGCCAGAAATTGCTGCTCTCATCCTTAATCGGAAGAAATACGGAGGGAGTTATAACTCGACACGAGGCAGAAAGTAAGTTGGAATCCAGACAAGGTGTGGTTGTGTGACTTAACTTCACCCACCCCCTTTATAGGCACTGGGGGTTAGCTAACTTGACCTTTTTTTAGATTAGTAAAGCTGGAGGACATTATGTCAAGTCACACTGCGTGACTGGAGACCTCGGCCATTAGGACACACATGTCCATGTCCCCCCTCTCTCTCTCTTTCTCGCTTTCATTCATCTCTTTCTCTGTTTACATTTTTTCTCAATCTGCTTCTATCTTTTGTTTGGAGTTTTCCTGAAGTCATTTTTGTGCTGTTCATTTTCTTTATCTCCCCCTTGACACATCCTGTGTTGCGCTTTAATTTGATTTGGAAAATAGGGCTTTCATGACTTCTACACTTTAAGAGTTAAACTAACCTGTGGTGCTTCTATGTAAACTTTCTCAACATGGCAGCCTTCTCTTTAGGGGTTCGGGGATTCAATAAATCCGAAGGAAATCAAAGAGTCATGAAATCCCTACTATCCGCTTTTAAAGATTTTTTTTCTCTAAGAACATAAAAAAAGCAACAAAAAAAATCAAAGATCTGCAAGTGCATTATTATTGGTGGTCTTTTTGAGCATCATCAATCTCAATGACCATTGCAGGACATTTCGTTTTTTTCTTTTCTTTTCTGTTTTGCTTGAATTCGTTTTGCATGTTTTCTGCTTCTCCTTTTCTGCCTCTTATGGGATGTTCTATACGACCTGCACTACTGTGGCTTTTTCACTGATTACAAACCCCACCCTGATGAAAAAGTCTTCCTCCTGTTGTTTGTCTCTGCTGGCACATTGCATCATCAATGCTTGACATTACTCTGGCCCTGATCTTCAGTCAGCTCCCACACCCTGAACGCTGGACGCCTCGCTCCGATTGGAGGCTCTCAATTTCTTTTTATGCATGCTTTGCCTGCTCGGTTCTCGGCGCTCGCATGGGCCTTGTGTTTGTGTGGCGCTGGAGCTTTTTGTCCTCGGAGAACCCCCTTGTGTACTTCTACGTGTGATTCTTGCACCAGCGGACTGTAAAGCTTGTGTGACACTTTGATCGGTGCTCATTGTGCATTACTGTCCTCTTCCCCTCGTGGCTCAAACCTTACTGATATTCAGCACAAAGATTTATTTCAAGCCCATAATGTGGTGTGTCTAGAACAGGGAGAGTAGTCGTCTTCTTTCCTCTCTCTCGCTCTTTTTTCCCTCCTCTAATTTTCTGCAACACTCAGCATCTGCTACTGTCTGCTGTCTTCTTTTCCTCGCTTCTTTCCAATCTTGCGCTGTCATTCTGTTCGATGAGGCACATTTCATGGAGTCAGCGTTAGAGTGAGGGTTCAGGAGGGAAAAAGCCTTATTTCAGTAACGTTTGCCTGTCACAAAGATAAGATTGATGAAATGTTGTGTTTAGCCAGTGACTTCATCCCAGACTCACAGAAAGGTGCTGAGAAAAGCCCTTGTCAAAACTAAGAATGATTTATTCAACTTTCTTTATTTTTCACTTTCTACACCTCTCATTCGCTTTAGACGTATGGAATCAATCATCTAAGACCCACCGAATGCAAAAAGCTCAAAGGAACACCACCGTTTTGCACAACTATTCAGCTACGTGTGATCCGACTGTTTTGTTGCGCACGTTTAAAATTACATCTGAAGTTCAGCGCGTTATCTTTTAGCAGCTGTCACAAAATCGCGTCATGGAAATGAGATTAGGAGATTACGAGTAACCAAATGATTACAACGCTTTTGACTGATGAGGTTGTTGTGAATCATTTTACAACTCATCCTCTGCGTCATTTCTGTGCCTGACTGCTGCCATTTAACACAAACGTTTCAGGTTATTTAAAAAAAAGAGAGAGGGACTCACTTTGGATCCAGACTGGATTTATGTGTCGCGCAAGTGCTGCTTATGATTCTGCCCGTGCAGTGTAGCATACGCCCGGGATCACAGTGACAGCTCTCAACCAGTGTGCGCTGATCTAGTAATGACAAGTGTTGTGTTGTACTGGCGCCCCACTGTACTTGGAGCCCCGTGGTTTCCATTATGACTCCGTGGTTTCCATTAACCCCAGCTTCAGCCGAGGAGCTGACATGAAAACTGACTTCAACCCTGGCTGAACTCCGGCACAGACCTCTTAAACCACTTTTAGAGGGTTTGCAACTTGAAGTGAATGGATTGAGATATGTGCACATTATTGAATATGAACAAAAAGATTTAACTGCAGAATAGATAAAGTTGAAAAAGTCATCCATGCGAAAAGCTTTGTAAATTCATCAGGACTACACTGTTAATTCTGCAACAGTTCCTTAAAAATCTAGACTTTTCCACATCTTTCTTCACTGACGTAAGGATTAGAGCAGTAAGTGAGTGACTTCTACCCGTGGTGTTTGAGCTTTGTTTGTTCTTTTTGTGTTTCCCTGAAGACATCCCGGATGTTGTCTGTGCATGTTTGTGCACGCTTTTTGATAACGCTTTGCATTTATTGTGATTGTGCTTTTTTAACTTATTTAACATTGGTGTTCTTTTAATAGTATTTTTTCCCTTCCTGTGTATTTGCCATGTTTTTTCTTTGTTTTGATTTAGCTTACTATAAATTGTTGAACTAACCAATCAGAATAACAAAAGCAGTTTTCTTATTCTTAACACAAAAATAAGGAAATTTGTGTTTCATAGGTTATTTATTTGTTGTAACAAAGCTTCTTGGCAATGAATCTTATACCGTTGGAAAACCTGTTAATTTCCCTTTTAAGCGGAACCACATTTGTAAAGACATGCATTTGTGGGATGAGCAGTAGAGCTGAGTGTGCTTTTTTTTGCTGTTGCTTTTGACACTTTTCTCTCTCACTGCTTTTGAGCTTCTGGTGCTGCCAATCAGGTGCCTGGTATAAGATTTATTGCCAAGAAGCATTGTTACAACAAAGAAATAATCTACCAAACACAAATTCCCTTAATGTTTTGCTAAATAAAAAATATTATTTTCCAATATTCGTATTTAACCATCATCTGAATGTAGGTAAAATGATTCTTGAATAGGGACACATCAACACTCAAACATGAAAATAATATTAAAATGACAGATTTTATTTATTTATTTTGGCCAAATATTGTTTGCTCATTACAAACATCTCAACACATTTTAAGGTAAAAAAAAAATCAGTCCTTTGCTCAGTCTCTGCTGCTCGTTAGACTCTCCTAAAGGTCAGAAGGAAGATCTGTGAAAACCATTATGACCTGCTACATCTATAAATGTCATTTTCCCAGTTCAACAGTCACTTTACTTTGCCAAGTCCACTTGATTTTAGTCCTTCCCACTCCATGTGCTGCAGAGAAGGAGAGAACATCGTGATCTGGACTCTGGTTCTCATTTAACATCAATAATCTCGGCTGCATTGAGTCAGTAATGCTCTATAGTTTCAGGCACTGACTTTAAAAGGTTAACGTGTTCGTCAGAGCTTCCCTTTTGTGTTTAAAAAGAAACTTATGATAAGAATTTACAGTGAACACTTTTAAAAAGGTATTTTAAGAAAAAAACTTAATACAGGTGTTCCAGTACCCAGACACTTAAACTAAAGCGGTTCAATTGTCTCCTGGCACGCCAAGTAGTGGACAAGCCTTTTGTCATTATATAGATTGTCTTACAGGTCTCCATAGGGCAATTATGGTGTCTGCTGAGTGTCAACACTAATGTCGGTCAGTATAAAAGCTGCATTCAACAAACAAGATTTAACCATAAGACTGGTTTGGGGATGTTTTCTTTTAACTTCAGCTTAGCAGCTTAGCTAAACACTGAGAAAACACAGATTATTAGGTGCTTTAGGTTCACATTTTTTATGTGTGTTTGTTTTTAATAGAAGCAAACGCTAAAGTAAGTAAGGATGGGAAGAAAATTTCCAAAAAGGAAAATAACTTGGGAAATTGATGTGAATTAGGAGGGTCAGTGTCTCTTTTGGTCGTTGGATTTTCATGTTTGAAACAGGTATTAAAAAACAAGAAATGAGTGGATATTTGATTTTTGTTTTAAAATACTGAAATTAAAATTAAAATACAAAGTGTGTCTCATTCTTAGTGTCAAAAAAGGGTAAACAAAATTTTAAAAATGATTTGAGTTGCATTTTCTGTTTCAGATAGCAAAAAAGAAAATTACTTGAAGACAGAAAAAGAAAAGGGCTTTTTTGTTTGTTTTCTACGATTATTTATTACCCCACCAGAGGGAGCGCTCGCCTGACAGCTCTGCACAATGAAACACTAATTTCTGTAAATACAAACGTAAAAGGCTGAAACACAGAGAAGTATGCCCATAAATAAGTTGTATGATGACTGTTGCTCAGTGACCAAAGGCCTTGCAGAGATAATTCATGTGGTGTTTGGCCAAATAAGTTTCTTATACTGAATACATGTCAGCTACTGCCTCCATGTTTCATCTTCATTTTTCTCAATAAAAAGCAAAATAAGATTAATTTCATTCTATTAGTGTGTTGTACAGTTGTTGTTCTGTGAGCACACATGTTTTTTTCCCTCCTGAGTTTTGACAAAATCTGTACTTTTTTCTGTCAGTTTGCATCCTTGGAGTTTTCCTTTCAGTGAAGGGTGGGCGGTACTACGATTTTGATATCGATCTGATACCAAATAAATACTTGGCAAATTTATTTGATACCAAAGTCTGTATCAATGCTTTTTACTTGTAATGGGATGTTTATTGAGTAACTTTGATATTGCAGACACCCCTCCGGGTGGTGAAACAGTTTATAGGGATACAGAAAGTTGGCACGACCTGTCATGGAATGTGAACAAACGAGCCTTTTTTCATTTCTGTCTTAAACTAATTTTCTTTTTTGCTATCTGAAACAGAAAATGAAACTCAAACCTTTTAAAAGTTTCGTTCATCCCTTTTTGACACTAAGAATGAGAAACGCTTTGTATTTTAATTTTAATTTCAGTATTTTAAAACAAAAATCAAATATCCAATCGTTTCTTGTTTTTTAATACCCGTTTCGAAAATGAAAATCCAATGACCAAAAGATACACTGACCTAGGAGGAAAGCAAATAGAAAGTTTTCAATTTCTTTTAGTTTTAGACTTTAAAACAGATTTAATCTCTGTTTTGTTTTGTTTTGTTTTTGTAATAAAACACCCCTCATGTGATTTATTGTTTAGTTTGCTGAATATAGTGAAGGACTAGTATGGTAAATGGGCATATTTACTTACACTAACATACACTTAAATAATTTCTTGTTTTTACTCAGTTGAAGAGCCTTTGCAGTTAATGGCAGATTTCTTTGGAATGACTAAAAAAATGAACAAACACACAATAAAACCATGTAGGAATCATAAGCTTCACTTTAGTTTGTGATAGTCTTCAGAGATGTTCAGGCACAAAGTCTTGTTTACCTTTGGAATTATTTGTTTCTGAAGCAATTTCTACAATTTCTTGTCTCTATAATTGTAATAACTGTATTTATAATTTTTTTTCAACATGCATCATCAGAAGATGATGACAAATAGAACATATTTTTGTTTGTTGGAGTGGTAAATTGTGTTCCCTAATATTTAAGGCTCGTACATATGACTTATGGAAAATGACCAGAAAATAGAAATTATGTCTGTTTAGCCACTCAGGCCTGATAGGTAAAATGTTTTTTAAAACCTATTTCTACAAATCATTAATTTGTTTGTTGTTCATTTAATTAAGATCTTGTGCCTTAATTGTCAGCTTACCATCATATGTTTTAAAACCTTTTCTGATTTTGTGCTTTTAGGCTCTTTAAACACTTCATTAAAGTTATTTTATTCTTCTGAACCATCACATTTTTTATTATTTTATTTTTATTAAATTTAAATTCTCCTAAGTCTGAAACATATTTGAAAACTTTCTATTTGCACTGCATCTAGTAAATAAACAGATTTAATCAACAACCGATTTGTGACGCACTTTTTGAAAATATACAGCGGGTAAAATAAGTATTGAACACGTCACCATTTTTCTCAGTAAATATATTACTAGAGGTACTAATGACATGAAATTTTCACCAGATGTTGGTAACAACMCAAGTGATCCATACATACAAAGAAATCAAACCATAAATGTCCAGAAATGAAGTTATTTGTAATAATGTGGAATGGCACAGGGAAAAAGTATTGAACACATGAAGAAAGGGAGGTGTAAAAAAGCATGGAAAGACAAGACACCAGCTGAACTCCCTCAGTAATTAGAAAACAAGCCTGCCCCTTGTCAGTGCAAGTTAATATCAGCTGGTTCAGTCCCAAATGATGGCCAGGTATCACACAAGAACCATCTGATGATGGGTAAAAGTAAAGAGCTCTCTCAAGACCTTCACAACCTTATTGTTGCAAAGCATAATGATGGCATCGGTTACAGAAGAATGTCTAAACTTCTGAAGGTTCCAGTGAGCACTGTTGGGGCCATAATTCAGAAGTGGAAAGAACATTATTTCACCATAAACCGACCACGACCAGGTGCTCCTCACAAGATTTCTGACAGAGGAGTGAAAAGAATTATCAGAAGAGTTGTCCAAGAGCCAAGGACCACTTGTGGAGAGCTTCAGAAAGACCTGGAATTAGCAGGTACGATTGTTTCAAAGAAAACAATAAGTAATGCACTGAACCATCATGGCCTGTATGCACGCTCACCACGCAAGACTCCACTGCTGAAGAAACAGCATGTTGAAGCTCCTTTAAAGTTTGCTGCACAACATTTAGACAAGCCTGTGTAATACTGGGAGAATATAGTCTGGTCAGATGAGACCAACATTGAACTGTTTGGATGCCAGAATACACATCATGTTTGGAGGTCAAATGGCACTGCACATCAGCCCAAAAACACCATACCAACAGTGAAGTTTGGAGGTGGGAACATCATGGTGTGGGGCTGTTTTTCAGCATATGGTACTGGCAAACTTCAAATAATTGAAGGAAGGATGAGTGGAAAAATGTACAGAGACATTCTTGATAAAAATCTGCTTCCATCTACCAGGATGATGAAGATGAAACGTGGCTGGACATTTCAGCAAGACAATGAGCCCAAACACAAAGCCAAGGAAACTCTCAGTTTGTTCAGAGAAAGAAACTAAAGCTGCTGGAATGGCCCAGCCAATCACCTGACCTGAATCCAACAGAAAATCTATGGAAAGAACTAAAGATCAGAGTTCATAGAAGAGGTCCACGAAACCTTCAAGATTTGAAGACTGTTTGTGTGGAAGAATGGGCCAAAATCACACCTGAGCAATGCATGTCTCTAGTTTCTCCATACAGGAGGCATCTTGAAGCTGTCATTGACAACAAAGGCTTTTGTACAAAGTATTAGATAAATTTCAGTAAGTGTGTTCAATACTTTTTCCCTGTGCCATTCCACATTATTACAAATAACTTCATTTCTGGACATTTATGGTTTGATTTCTTTGTATGTATGGATCACTTGGGTTGTTACCAACATCTGGTGAAAATTTCATGTCATTAGCACCTCTAGTAATATATTTACTGAGAAAAATGCTGACGTGTTCAATACTTATTTTACCCGCTGTAGGTCCTTAGATCTAGAACATTAAAGTCGAACTATTACAGAAGCACCTGAAGGTTTTATAACCAACAAACGGCCCAGTGAGAGTCTCATCTTAAAGATGCATTCGAAGTTGACCTTTTCACTTCTGCAGTGCAGTCAGAGGACAATCAGGGACATGACCTCGTCCCTAAAAATCCTTTCAAACTAACATCTTTCTCTCCCCTTTCGGCTGCAATCAAGCTCGTGCAGCTTCTGACAGATTCCCCCCACTGTAATGCACTGCAGAGTCCTGCCAAGGAGCCGTCAAACACGCTGAAGTCCTGTTTAGATTTTTTGTCAACCACAGGCCTCTGAATCATTTTGAAAGTTTTACTAATGTTTTGTATAAAAGCATGATTATACTGATGTCCATGTCTTTGTCAGCATCCATTCCGCTCACAAAGGGGTGGTTTGGCTCAAGGGAACGTTTTTATATTGAGAACGGATGACAGTCCAACCACTGTAGGATGTCTGATTATATCTCAGATTTTCTATAGTGGTTTAGATTTGAGTGTTTGACTGGATTTGTCATAATGAATTTAACCAATTTCATTACATGGGGGAAAATGTTCACTTATATGGCAAAAATATATATATCATTCAGTTACTTGTTTGCTTTGAAAAGGCATTTTTTGACATGTCTATAAAGCTTTCTTTCTTTTAATTTCAGCTAAATGTTGTATTGCTTTGGTTTGTCTGATTACTTTTGGGAGACATGCCAATGTCTGCAGTTATTTATGTTGCCCACTCAAGAAGATTTCTTCCCCCTCCCCTTCCAGGCACATTGTGGTCTGTGGTCATATCACCCTCGAAAGTGTCTCCAACTTCCTCAAAGACTTCCTACACAAGGACAGGGATGATGTCAATGTAGAAATTGTTTTTCTCCATAAGTAAGTTCATCTTTTCCTTTATATGTGGCCGAGTGCAGGACATTCTGGACTATGTGAGGCATCCATACATGCACTAAAGCTTCTTGTCCTTTTTTATGTGCCAGTATTTCCCCTAATCTTGAGCTGGAAGCCTTGTTCAAACGTCATTTTACTCAAGTAGAATTCTACCAGGGATCTGTTCTCAACCCTCACGATTTGGCTCGAGTGAAGGTAATACCTGTGACTAAAGTCTTAAAATGATAAAATACATAAAACTCAAGACAGCATCAGTTAATTTTGTGTGTTTATTCAATTTAAATCAATAGTCTACTGCTATTCAGTAAATCTATTATTTTTAAAGCTGTTCAGAAAAACTCTTTTGTGGCAAAATGGTGACACACAATGTAAAAAAACAATAAAAGCCTATTTTTTGAATATAAAATAATATAAGAAGAAAAAAAGAATGCATTAGTCAGTTTTCAGCGAACTAAATGTTCTGTAAGTACCAGTATTTGAATCTCTCCTTGTGTGACACCATAGCCTTTGCATTTCCTTTAACATACTTGTTTTTGTCTTTTTTTACATAGATCGAGTCTGCAGATGCCTGCCTGATTTTAGCCAACAAATACTGTGCAGACCCTGATGCCGAAGATGCCTCCAACATCATGAGGTATCGCTTTCTGTGGAATCTGAAATGATTAGAAAGTGACATGGTGCTTTGCTGTGTTTATATATGTTCTATGCATCTGTCTGATTCTGAAGGGTCATATCCATCAAGAACTACCACCCTAAGATCAGAATAATCACACAGATGCTACAGTATCACAATAAGGTAAGAGTCAAAGTTTGGTCAAGCAAACAAATCGAGGATTTCACTGATTGACTTAAAACACGATGTATTTTCAAACATGCTAATCATTAAAAAAAGAACAATTGAAGAATAAGCAATTTCTTTTTGTTTTTTTGAATTTTTAAGTGTTTGGCAGGGCAGAGCTACCAATGGTTGGATTTAAAGTTTTCAAATAACTTTCAGAAAACCGTAATTGGAGTTTTAGAGGAAAAAACCAACAACTTGTGATTACGTGTGTCTTTCAGTTGCTCAACAGTTACCTCCTTTTTCATATATTATTTATAACATATTAAACATTTCACTGAGTTGTAAATC